ACATTATACATACATTAAAAACAATAGCAAGAAAGAAAAAAACCACTTGTATCCCTGTCTTGGGGTTCATTTCACTTACCATCATCTTATATGGTCACATGTACATAGCTTTTGACCTTTTCTGCTTGTCCTAGACTTATACTAGTTATTGCAAATTAGGGAAATCATGGAACCTATGTTTCTTTGGGCCTGGCTTACTTCACTTGATATAAGTTTTTCCAAGTCTTTCTATTTCTTAACAAATGGGGCGATGTCATTCTTTCTGATGGAGGCATAGAATTCCATTATATATCACATTTTCTTGATCCATTCATCTACTGGAGGCATTCCATGTAATTTTTATTGTCCAGAAGTCAGAATGGTCTGTAACCTTTGACCTCAAGTATGTGTCTTTCATCTACCTATTTGTGTCTTCCAACTATTGTGCTAGGCCTTTGGAATGTGCAAAGAAGTAAAAAGCATGATCCCCACCTTCAAGAAAACCATTAACATGGGCTGGGAAGGTAGCTCAGTGGTAGAGTGCTTGCCTTGCATGCCTGAGGCCCTGGGTTCGATTCCTCAGCACCACACAAGCAAAAAGAAAAAAGCCGGAAGTGGCACTGTGGCTCAAGTGGTAGAGCGCTAGCCTTGAGTGAAGAGCTGAGGGACAGCGCCCAGGCCCAGAGTTCAGGCCCCATGACCAGACCCCCCCCCCCAAAAAAAAAAAGAAAAGAAAAAGAAAACCATTAACATGATTTTTTTTATATTGAGAAACTGTACCAGTAAATAAAAGGTGATCATATGTCTTTTGATGATATGTATTAATGTATAATTATATATGAATGACTTCAGAATCTCCACTAAATTACATATATATGTGTGTTACATTATGTGTATTACCTATATTGTCAAAAGATATTAAGTATTCCTTAAACTTACTTTATTTTTATTGACAACTAAAATGGTGTGAAGAGATGCTGTCATTTTTTCCCCTTTTTTATTTTTATATTTTTTGCCAGCCATGGGACTTGAACTCAGGGTGTGGGTGCTATCTCTGACCTTTTCTTGCTCAGAGCTAGTGTTATACCACTTTGAGCCACAGCTCCACTTCTGATTTTCAGTGGTTAATTGGCAGTAAGAGTCCCATGGACTTCCTTGCCCAGGCTGGCTTTGAATCAGGACCTGATCTTAGCCTCCAGAGTAGGTAGGATTATAGGCTTAAGCCACCTGTGCCTTGCTTCCCCATCTCTATATTTCTGGATGTAAATCTTCAGTCTACCAGTCACAGCTTTTGCTAAGATATTTGTTCAATGCTATTGGCCAAGCTTCCCTAGGAGCAGCGAATGAATTAGGACTTCATCTCTTCATGGGATATGTAATGTATCACCTCTTCAAGGGATATTTGATAATTCACCTCTTCATAGGCTATGTAATAATTCACCACCTCTTCATGGGATATGTAATGCACTACTTCTTCATGGGATATATAATATGCCACCTCTTCATGGGGTATGCAATATATCACTTCTTTATGAGATATGTAAATACCACCTCTTCCACTTTAAAAGTGTGGCCAAGAAAATTTTACAATAAGGTGCACTCAATTTTATAAAGAATAAATAGCTTCAACATGATAAAAGTTCTCATCATTGAATTCCGATAGTGGTAGCACTTAAAGAAAGATTCAGTCACTTATTAATTCAATAATTATTAAAAACTTACTAATTTAATGTAATTACTTATTAAAAACTTACTATAATATAGGGTATAGTAGGAGGAAGGATAAGAAGAGAAGGCAGAGGAGAGGAAAGGGAAGGAGAAGGAAGGAAGAAGAGGAGAAAGAGAAGGGGGAGAAGGTAGAATGTTCCTGAGCTTGTAGAAATCAGTGTACAGGCAGAAATTACACTCGTAGTGGTCCCCAGTGTCTTACATTGTAATCCTAGCTACTTAGGAGGCTGATTTCTGAGGATAGCAGTTTGAAGTCAGCTTGGGTAGGAAAGTCTGTGAGACTCTTATCTACAAAAAACAATTTAAAAAGCCAGGAGTGGAGCTGTGGTTCAAGTGGTAGAGCTCTAACCTTGAGCAAAAGAAGCTCAGGGCAGTGCCTAGGCCTAGAGAGAGGAGACAGGGAGGGAGAGAGGGAGAGAGGGAGGGAGGGAGAGAGGGAAGAAGGAAGGAAGGAAGGAAGGAAGGAAGGAAGGAAGGAAGGAAGGAAGCAAGCAAGCAAGCAAGCAAGGAAGCAAGGAAGGAAGGAAGCAAGGAAGGAAGGAAAGAAAGAAGGGAGGGAGGGAGGGAGGGAAGGACAAGGTGAAGCTCCAGAGGGACTGGAATCAGGGCTGGCTGCTTCAGACTCTCTGCTTGAAACAGGCACTTCAGGAAACCTGTATCTATCAGAAGAGCTGAAGCTGGAGATTTCTGCCCAGAGGAGGAAAGACACAAACAGGACATTGCCAGGCACAGAAACTGACACCCCAAATCCTGTAAATTGCCAGGCACTAGTGGCTCACACCGATAATCCCACCTACTCAGGAGGCTAAGATCCTGATGATCCTAGTTCAAAACCAGCTAGGGCCGAAAAGTCCTCAAGACCCCATCTTTAAAATAACCATCAAAGCACAGGACTGGAGACATGGCTCAAATGGTAGAGTACCAGATGAACAAGCAAGCCAAGCAAGTGTTAGAGAAGTCTCGAGTTCAAACTACAGTACCAGAGGGGGGAAATCCCTTAAATTGAAGACCTAACACTCACCTCTCAGATGCCTTTGGAGCACATCCTGTCTGTCTTTACAGTTTCTCCCCAGAGCCTAGAGCAGCATTTGGGAGCTCTGTGCATTGAGTGAACACACATCTGGTTCTAAGAAGAGCTCTCCTACTTTGCGAGGGATAATTGATAACTTCATTCATTGTATACCCATTTCCCCCCCCCCCCCCCCCCACACACACACTCCAGGCTTTCCGTCAACTGTTAGAGATCCTAAGAAGACAGGAATACCTCATTGTGACAGACAGCTGTCATGGATGTCCCTCCCCCTTGGTGAATGCTCCCGGGAGAGCAAGGATGCCACAACCATCACCTGGACAAATCAAAGAAAACTGTGGATTGGCTCAAAAGTTGTTCCAAGTCCCTCCAGGGACACGTGTTTAATCTCAAAGTGGGATATTTGTGGGAGGAGCGCTCTGTAGGCGCCATGGCCAGCACAGACGCCAATGTACGGTAGGAGGTTTGGATTTATGATGCCCTGTCTTCCAGACTCTCATCCTGCACTTTAGGTCAGCTAAGTGCTGAAGAGCTCTGCGGGAGGGAGGGGGGACAGTAAGTGTGGATGGTGCTCTAACTGAAGCCAGATGGGCTGGTAGGTAAGCTGGCAACTCTGTACCAGGCAGGCCAAGGGGCTGAGTTTGTCTGCGAACTCACTTAACCCTCAGAAGTCTGGAATCCAAAACACTGACCCTTTGCTGTGTTGTCTCACTTGCTTTTTATATGCACTTAGATGACAAGGAAGCCGGAAGAGAAATCACTTAGGACATACTTCAGATAGAAAGAAATGAGATCTGTAAATCTGCTTTTGATGTCCAACCTGCTTCATAGTCTAGGGTCTTGGGGAAAAAAGATCAAGTACCAGGACCATTCTCAGGGGTGTAATTCACATACATCTCAGTGTGAAATCTTCCAGTGAAAGACAGAGGATAGAAAACTTTCCTGTGTGTTTACAGAGTGAGAAAATCCTGAAGCCAGGAAAATTTGGACAGTTAATAGTAAAATAAAGACATCTTCCTTGTAGAACCATCAGCACTACACTTTTAACAGAAAAAAAAAACCCTGTATTTATTTATTATTTATTTATTGTACCAATAGTGGGGCTTGATCTCAGAGCCTGAGCACTGTCCCTGAGCTTCTATGCTCAAGGCTAGAGCTCTACCACTTGAGCCATAGCACCACATCCAGTTTTTTTGCTTCTGTGGTGCTGAGGAATCAAACCCAGGGCCTTATGCATGCAAGGCAAGCACTCTACCACTGAGCCACCTTCCCAGCCCTCCACTTTCAGCTTTTTAAAAATTAAGTTAAATTTATTTTTTGTCAGTTGTGGGGCTTGAACTCAGGGCCTGGGTGCTATCCCTGAGCTCTTTGGCTCAAGTCTAGCACTCTACCACTTTGAGCCACACCGCCACTTCCAGTTTTCTGGCGGTTAACTAGAAATAAGAATCTCACTGACTTCCTTGCCAAGGCTGGCTTCAAACCATGATCCTCAGATCTCATCCTCCTGAGTAGCTAGGATTATAGGCATGAGCTACTGGCATCCTGCTAATTCCAGCTTTTTTTGGTAGGTAACTGGAGATAAGAGTCTCATAGCCTTTCCTGCCTGAGCTGGTTTGAACTGTGATCCTCAGCCTCCTCAGTAGCTAGGATTACCCTCATGAGCCACCAGCACCTGGCTTTTTTTATTAACATTGCAATTATTGTATTATTATTGCAATGATGCTGTTCTTTGGTGTGATAGCAAAGACTGACATATGACAAATTTATATAAGAAATACTCCTAGCCAGGCGCCGGTGGCTCACACCTGTAATCCTAGCTACTCAGGAGGCTGAGATCTGAGGATCATACTTCAAAGCCAGCCCAGGCAGGAAAGTCCATGACACTCTTATCTCCAATTAACCACCAGAAAACCAGAAGTGGTGCTGTGGCTCAAATAGTAGAGCACTAGCCTTGAGCTGAAGAGCTGAGGGGTAGCGCCCAGGCCCAGAGTTCAAGCCCCATGACCAACAACAACAACAAAAGTACTCCTGTAGAATTTCCAAAACTGAATATTCACTGCTTCGGTTGCTATTTATTTGTATAAACACTGTCCGTGCTGTAAAACTAGAACTAGTTTCAGGAACAGTTGACTAAATCCACCAGAGACTTGCCAGGAAGATGTTAACATGACTAAAATATAAAAAGCTGAAGACCAGGTCTGTGCAGGAAATCCATTTCCCAGTCTCAGTCATTCCCTTAGTTACTATCTGTGGTTCAGGCTACCCTGAGACAAAGCTGGCTGAAAGATGGGGAGAGGCGAAGGGCAGGTTTGGTGACTTGGGGATTATTAACGGAACCCTTACATAGATCTCATTAGAGATCTGTGATTTTATTTTTACATCTGGCCCTGTCGTATGTCAAAAGTTACCAATTACTTTCATGAATCCCCTGACAATTTTTATAGGAGTCCAAATAATGCCTCTTCCTTTTTAATATTCCCTATTTAGCCATTAGATTTTGATGGATTGATTTTAATTTTTAATCTCGAACACATTCTATATCTTAGGTCAAGGAGCAGGAAAGCCATTTTGCAGTTAATGAGTTTCATTGTTTTGTATAATACAGCCAGCAGTGGTTTATTTAAATTGGGCAAATATTAACAATATAAAGATAGGACTTGTTTGCTTTCAATCCTCTCCATTGTATTTATGGCATGCGGCAAAAATTTGGTGATATGTTTTTTTAAAAAGTGGCGGGGGGGGGGGGGGGGGGAGAAAGACCAGTAACACATTGTTATCATCATTTCCCTAAAGGACAGATTTGTGGAATGGGGGGCAAGGGTACCCACAGACAGCTGTAATATGAGGAGGTGCTGAGCAGGCCTCTGGACTCCATTTATCTTCCTATAAACACAGTAAATGGCAGGTCCTGCTATTTCAAATATCCCCTGCAGTCCTCAAGGCTGAGCATGTTTATGGCTACCCCTTGAAGATTACAAAGCACTTCTGGGGAACACTTCTTAACTAATCCCTCCAGGCAGGGCTCTAAACCAGTTGGTCAAGATTGACTGGCAGATTTGTAATGGAGAGGCAGAAGGAATGTGAAGAACTTGGGTCTGTGATAAAGTCCCTGCCTTGGCCACTTACTAGTTGAGAGTGACCTGGGGCCAGTTACCTGCTCAAAGCTTCAATTTCTCTGCCTCATATTTATTGAAGGGTGATTGTTAAGACTGGAGCTACAAGTAAAAGGCTTAACTACCACAGATGGTATCAAAGGCAGCCGAGGTCAGTGGGAAGGAGCCCTCAGGTCCTCAGTAAGTGTGTGTGCACATGCACACTTGCACACACTCCTCAGCATCCCTCTCCCTCTCCAACAGGAGGCTAAAAAATGTTTGTTTCTGAACCCCCATTTTCCTGCTAATAGTGAGGTTCAGAGAGCTACTAAGGCCAGGTCCTAGCAACCCCACTAACACCCAACTCCACCCCATACAATCAAGACCCTTGAAATTTGGCACCCTTGGTTTCAGCCTGGGCTTAGAACATGCAGGTCCTGCAAATAAGAGGTTTGGGAGGGTTCCCAGAAGAAACATTGCGAATTTGAGAACGCTGCGCATTTGCTAGCTTCCAGGAAGATATGGTGCCCATGAATGATCAGGGTCTTGGCCAGTTTCTTCTTTGCAGTCTAGGTGTGAAATTTTCCCACAGCAAATGGGAAATGTGCAGGGCTGCAGGGCTGCAGGTCCAGGAGACAGGCCAAGAAGGCCTGTCACTCCTGGAGACTCCACAGAGGGATGATGCAAGTTAGGAATGTGACTTTTCTGTGTTTGTGCTGGTACTGGGGTTTGAACTCAGGACTTAGGCACTATCCCTTAGCTTTTTCCAATCAAGAGTGACACACTACCACTTGAGCTGCAACTCTACTTTCAGCTTTTTGCTGGTTAGTTGGAAATAAGGGTCCCACGGACTTTCCTGCCAGGGCTGGCTTCTAACTGTGATCCTCAGATCGCAGGCTCCTGAGTAGCTAAGATTACAGATGTGAACCACCAGGGGTGGGCTAAGAAAGAACACTTTTATAGACTTTTATAGACTTCAGCTTCTTTCACCACTCCCTCTGTCCCAGTCCTGGGACTTGAACTCAGGGCCTCAGTACTGTCCCTGAGCTTCTTTTGCTCTAAGCTAGCATTTTAGCCATAGCGCCACCTCTGGCCTTTTCTGTTTATGTGGTAGTGAGGAATCAAATCCAGGGCCTCATGCATGCTAGGCAAGCACTACCACTAAGCCACATTCGGCCCTTCAGCCTCTTTTCTTGCCTCTAACAAATTAACACTATATCTTCAGAATGGCTCTTAATCCTAAACCTAGCACTCTATGATCTGTGCAGGTGTGTTGGTTTTATAGAATAAGAGGTACTCAGACAACTCCTAACAGATTCTGATTCAGGAAATAGGACCTGTTTAGAGGTCAGAGACTCAAGACAGATGATCTGGCTTCACCTCCCAGCCTCCCAGCTCCCTCAGTGTGGGTGTGAGCAAGTCACCCCTTGTCTTCCTCTGTTTTCAATTCCTTCATCTATAAACTTAAAATAATAACAGCCACCTGCCTCGTAGGGTTGTTGATAAGATGAAATGAGTTATTGCTATTAAGCATGCGTGAAGTTCAGCATTTGATATTTTTAAGAACCTGTAGATCCTGGGACACAGGCCAGGTGCGGGAATCAATCACTTTGCTACAGACTACTTCTAGTCACTTTCCAATCACTAGACTTTCATGTAATTTCAGAAGTTGAACTGGGAGATACCCAGACATCAAAGAGCAAACTTTTGGCAAGCGCTGGATCACCGATGAGAAAGATAAAAATTAGGAGGCAATGCTTTGATCACTCCTCCGATGGATACATTTATGAAACACTGGACAACTTTCAAGGTAAACCATTGAAGGCAAGAAGTCAAAAAGCATAGAAGGAAAATCCAAACAACAGAATTTCACATAACAAATCACAATTAAATTAACTATCACTAGATCGTTGTTATACACTAAAAGTCAAGGAGTCAGATAAACGGTAAAAACGTGGTTCTATCAAATTCTATCCTGGTACATCTAGTACACCATACCTACAGGCTTCAAATAAACCAACAGGGAGTCTTTAACTCCCATTTCCTCTGTGGGAAGCAGGAGATGTCCCCCTTCCCCATTTCTCTATTCTGTTATACTAAAATGAATCCTTAGCCAGGCACTGGTGGCGCATACCTGTAATCTTAGCTTCTTAGGAGGATGAAATCTGAGGATCACAGTTCAAAGCTAGTCCAGACAGGAAAGTCTGTGAGACTCTTTTTTTCTTTTTTGGTTGGTCATGGGGCTTGAACTCAGGACCTGGGCACTGTCCCTGAGCTTTATCGTTCGAGGCTAGCACTCTACCACTTTGACCCACAGTCTCACTTCCAGTTTCCTGGGAATTAATTGGAGATGAGAGTCTCAGGGACTTTCCTGCCTGGGCTGGCTTTGAACCGTGATCCTCACATCTCAGCCACCTGAGGAGCTGGGATTACAGGTGTAAGCCACCTGCACACTACTGAGACTCTTATCTCCAATAAACTACTCAGAACCAGCCAGAAGTGGTTCAAATAGAAGAGTGCTGGCCTTGAGCAAAAAGAAGTTCAATGACAGTGCCCAGTCCTAGAGTTCAAACACCAGAACCAGAAAAAAAGGAAAACAACAACAATAATAACCACCACAACAAAGATCCTTTTTAGCCAAGTGCTGGTGGCTCATTATCTTAGCTATTATCTTAGCTACTCTGGGGAGGCTGAAATCTGGAGGATCATGAGTCAAAACTAGCCTGAAAAGTCTGGGGCTGGGGAGGTGGCTCAGTGGTAGAGCACTTGCCTTGCATGCCTGAGGCCCTGGGTTCGATCCTCAGCACCACATAAGCAAAAAATAAATAAATAAAATTAAAAAAAAAGAAAGAAAAGTCTGCAAGATTTCATCTCTGATTAACCAGCAAAAATACCAAACTGAGGCATGTGTCAAATAATAATGCAGCAACCATGAGAGAGAGCTCACAAACTTGAGTACACACATAAGTTATCCTTTAAAATGCATTATAAGGGCTGGGAAGGTGGCTCAGTGGTAGAGCGCTTGCCTTGCACGCATGAGGCCCTGGGTTCGATTCCTCAGCACCACATAAGAAAAAAGAAAAAAGCCAGAAGTGGTGCTGTGGCTCAAGTGGTAGAGCCTTGAGCTGAAGAGCTGAGGGACAGCACCCAGGCCCAGAGTTCAGGCCCCACGACTGGACCCAAAAATAAATAAAATTAAATAAAATAAAATGCATTATAATAGTTGAAATATAATGGTTACTGAAATATTTTATTCCAATATTTTTATTTATTTATTTTATACTAAGCCTGATAGGTAACGATCTAAGGGCTGATTCATTCTGGTCAATTTCTAAATTCCTCATTAATTAATTTTTTTATTTTGCGCCAGTCCAGGACTGGCTTGAACTCAGGACATGGGCACTGTCCCTGAGCTTCTTTGCTCAAGGCTAGTAGCACTCTACCACTTGAGCCACAGCTCCAGCTGGCTTTGAACTATGATCCACAGATCTTAGCCTCCTGAATAGTTAGGATTACAGGCACGAGCCATCAGCTCCTCATTATTTTTATCATTTTGAATCTCTGGGAGTTAGAACCTATGTTCTTCCAATTGTATCATGTTAGGAAGAAGCTCATCTTTATTTGGGGACACTTTCTTCATAGAGTTCTGTGAGTGAGATTATACCGATAATTTTTCTCATAATTTTTTTATTTCTATTTTTTCATTCTTGGAAACAAGAGTTACTCTGTAGCCCAAGATGACCTGGAACTCTTGATCTTTCTACCTCAGTTTCTTGAATGCTGGGATTACAGGTGGGTGTCATCATGCCCACCTTTGTTGTAACTTTTACAAAAGTATTCATGAGAACTACTCAGAATATTTGTAAAAAAAAAAAAAAAGAGATTTATACAAAAGACAAACACTAAAATTTAAGTACCATACCTACCAGCTTAACCAGAACAATATTTTTATTTATGGGAAAACATTAAAAATATTTATTAATCTTTTTTAAAAATGTTATTATAAAGGTGCTGTACAGAGAGGTTATAGTTACATATGTCAGATAAAGAGTACTTTTTTTTTTTTTTTTGCCAGTCCTGGGCTTGAACTCAGGGTCTGGACACTGTCCCAGACTTTTCCTGGGCAGACTTTCCTGCCCAGTCTGGCTTCAAACTGTGATTCTCAGATCTCAGCCTCCTGAGT